AGATCGCGGTCTGATCACCAATTTGGTTCACGACCAGAATCGTGGAACAAATTAAGTTTGTGAACCGAGGTACCACTGTACAGCTAATCTCAAACTTTTTAGAGATTTTCACTTGCTGACGCCTAGACTAGATTGCTTGGTCATTGGGATACTGTTACATTAATTTGTCCACTTTAAGGCCCCTTTTAGACGATGCTTTTAGTTTCCAATCCACAGAGGATCCTTGCACAGATTCCCTGCTGATCAGAACAGATCTCACAGTTGTGACATCTGTGTCATCCAGGTTGTTTTTTTGTTTTTTTCCTTCCTTTAGATTTGAAGGGGAAAAAACTGAAATGATCAGACCCACGTTGGTCTGTAGGGAATATTTTTACGGGCCTTGTCAAGGTTGAGGGTAGTTGGATGTAAACGGATGCACGTCTATTTTGGATGCGTCTGCCCATAGATCAACATTGGGCTCCCGATCAGATCCACCTAAAAAAAAAAAACTGGCAAACGGACCTGATCAGAATACCTGTGTGAAAGGGGCCTTTACCCTGATTCTGGTTGTAGTTGCTTGTGAGCTGCTGATCAAAAAAAACAAAACACCCTTTTAAGCTCAATTCCAGCCAAAAAGTTAGCTAAAGAGTAAACCAGTCAGGTTAATACTTAATGAAGAATAATGTTGCAGATTTTCCCCACTGGAGAAAGATCTCATCACTTCTTTCCTAACCCAAAATGAAGGGAAATCTCCCCGATGGGCCTACAGACTGCAGAGACAACAGTTAAGTAATACCTACTTTGTAAAATACAATAAAAAATTTTGGCAGGGGTTCGGCTTCAAGGGTTTCTAAACCCTCCGTTTTTTTGCCTATATCTACTGCTGAGCAAGCAGTAGATATAGGCAAAAAGTTTTAAAAAATGGCTTTAACAGTGGTTTAAACTTGCCCTGTTTTTGCCACGTGCTCCAGCCCAAGAATCCGGAACTGCTTAGGCGGCTGCAAAGCATCTTGGGGCGGGCGCATGCGCATTACGGATTTTCAGCAGAGAGACTTGCAGAGACGCAAGGTAAGTCTATGGACGCGTGCACCCGCATGCAGACACCGTGGGATCAGAAGTGCCAGCAAGCAGAGAGGAGTCGGCGCTGGATCGGAGAGCTGCCGCACTGCTGGAGGAACAGATGAAAACATCAGGAAAAAAGAGGAAGATCGGATTAAGAAACCTCATTTAAGATAAGTGCTAACATTGGGGGGGAGGGAAACATTTTTTTGACTTTAATTTCACATTAAGGTTTGTCAGGGCATTAATGCTGGTGGCTTGCAGGTCAATCTGACCATGAAAAGTATCCCAATCAACATTTGTTTACATACTTATGCAGACATATTGGCTACATGGATGCATAGGTTGTGGACAATGGCTCCTTCCTTATCTGTACATTGCTATAAGAAAGTAATTGACTATTGTCTGACCCAGCCATCAGCTTTTTCCTTTTGGTAGCAGTGTATTGAAGTCATTTTCTGTGCCTTGTACACAGCCAAATTGGAGCTGTCAGACGATGAAGGTCTTGTGTCTATGGCTGTGTACATGCCTTTTGCTAACCTGTGCTAGCCGGACGTCTCCGTCTTGTATTCTGGGAAGACTAAACACATTCTTCTAGTACTTTATTAACACAAACTACAGTGGGACTATCCAAAAACATTTAATGAAGGAAAGCAACTTTTTAGATGCAAAACTTATCAATGTTGCCATTAAATGGAAACAGATGTATGCATGTTTGTACTAAAGCATATTAAGCATTGCGACGCCTCTAGCTGGAAGATTTTTTTTATCTTGTTCATATCTGTTTTTTAAGTCTGTCTTCAAATTTTTTCAACAATTGCTCTTTTCCTACAAAAGTAACGTTGATTTGGAGCGTCAATGCATAAATCACATTCCTGCCTGTGTGAAGTTTATTCCACTGATACTCTCACGTCCCCCCCACGCCTACTTTAAAGTTTTAAGTTCCTATTCACATTTTATAAATGCGCTTGGAACAGATTCTTTTTGCTTACTGTATCAAACACTTGTTTTCGAGCAGTGAACCTCAAATCGCACAATGGAAGAAATTGTCTTTGGAAATGAATTGCGAGTTATTAAAATATATGCTGGGCAATGTGAAAGAGACTTTTATGAGGGTAGACTGGGAAAATAAAGGCTCTCCCTTATAAGCCTGTGAAAAGGGCAAGTGTTAAACTACGGGTAAACATGGCATATGTGGAAGAATCCTGTCAACCCTGAATGTCATTTACATGTTGCATGCAAATTTTTGGGTCCTTGACGTGTAATGAATACGTCAGCTCGATGCATATTAAAATTGGCACAGGAGTTTGGAAAGAATAGTTGTCATGTTCAGGATTTCTGTAATTTTATACTTGCAGATTTCCTTTTCTTTTATGCATTGTGTTACGGACTGGATTTCTTTTATATAGTTTCTGCTTGTGACCCATTGCTACTAGTGAAGCGGTTGACTGTAATGGGTAGTCTGTATGCTTGTCACCTAGGCATGACTTGCACTAATAACCTTTGGGTAATTTAGGTGTTAGGCAATGTGTTGTGTCTGCATAAAGTATGTCTCAGCAGTGTTGAGTTTAGTTGAACTAAAGATTCCAGATGTCGGGTGGCCTTTAAAATCATTATGCCATTGGTACCATGATCACTAGGGCCATCTTTAGACAGTTGATGTACTGTGAAACTAACAATGTTCTTTCCCTAAAGATAATGAAGGCGTTGTACACACAGGTGCCTAGTAGAAGCAGCACAGTAATATGAAGACAATTTACTTTATGTTGGCGCAGACCTGCCTCCCCATTCAGTCTAATTGTTTCTCCATGGGTGGTGGCTCCTTGAAGTAGTCCAATGTTGAGGGTATGTTGGAGTTTTGAAGCATTTTGTTTTGTGTTCTTTTAGCCGTCAAAAATATCTCAAACTATGATGTCCTTTTCTACAGTTACCTGCAATTCTGATTAATCCCGGAAATTACATTCAGGTGCAAGAAGTATTATTTAAAAGAACCAGTAAGCATGAGATTGCCATCTTAACCGATATCTCTTGGCCTTTGTTTTTATGCAAGTAGAGCACATATTCAAACCCTGAGTGGGAAGGAAGTTTGTTTGTAATGGAAATCAGTGTGGGGATATAGATTGCTGTTTGCAGGTTATCTTATTTCAATTGAAAAGGTAATTGTACTGATGGTCACATAAATATGCAATCTGAGATTTGCTCAAACTAGTATATGATTGTGTTATGTCTTTGGCCACCTCAGCAGTCTCAGTTGGCTCGTCGGTGCTAATTGGGCCTCTCATGAACAATTTAACCAGAGACATTTACACATAATGTATTTAAAGTATGTAATCCCAGATTAACCTTCTGAATTCCTTGTTTTGGGAGCTCATTTAAGATTAGTCCAGAGTAGCATGTTGCTCTCAATGTCTGTTTGAAAAAGCCCCAATAATTCCATACGGTACGTGGTATTAAGGGCCACATAGGTATAAAGTGGCCTCTGCTCGAAGCCTGTCCCAGCTGCTAAAGCATTATGTTTTAGCCTCCAAGAATGTTTGCAATGAAATCATTGCGGTTGTAGCATAAACAGTTATTTGATCATCAAATGGGTCCTTGTCTTTGAACAAAATTGATACTGAAATGGAATAAATGCTAAGGACCTATTTGGGTTATACAGCATTGATATGTTTAGTTCATTCCAGCCCTATGATTTCCTTTTTTATCTGAGGTGTTTACATTGCTTTTATGACTTTGCATATCATGTGGGTTTGGTAAATAGCATGACGAGGAGCATACACGCACTCCCCAGACCAGTGTTGGTCAACTTATTTGATGCAGAAGGCCTCAGGTGTGTCCCCTAACTTCACCATAGCACCACATGTTATATTGAGTGAATGCAATGCTACAAAAAGTCTAGGGACTGCAAACATGCAACAGGAGGGGGTCGTACTACAAACCTAGTACAAGATGATCAGGGGCTGCAGATATGCTACAGAAGATGGCTATATATTGTACATAACCAAACAAGCTAAAGTAGTTGCTGGAGATGGTCAGAGATGGCAAACATCCTATAGGAGCTGTTGGAGACTGGAAGCATGCTTCCGTAGACGCATTACATAAAAATTCTAGTATAGCCCCTATATAAATCATTGCTTCCACATTTGTGCTCTTTACAGCCTCCTTATGAACTACTATTACCTGTTATTTTTCTCAACAAGATAGATTATAAAAACACAAAACGGGAAGGGGATGGATAGGACTAAAATAAAAAAAAAGCCAGTCTAAAAAAATATCTTCATTGCCCTGAAGCACAAAGGTAAGGAACACCGGCTACTGTCTAAGGCCACACAATAAGGCCAGATGCACACTTGGGCAATCCCGGGACTCCGTGGTTGCACACAGCATTTGCCGCACGGACCCATTGATTATCAATGGGGTTGTATCCATGCGGCAATCGCTGAAGAAAGGTACTTTTTTTTTTTATACAACACGCTTTTTTTTTTCTAGCTGTGATCATGCGCAATTGCATGGACAATATTGCGGCTGGGGTGCCATTGGAAAACAATGGCACTGCCAGCACGATCAGTGGTGGTGTGCGATTCCGTGACCGTGCGGCGATCTGGATCACCAAAGGGTGGACCTGGTCTTAGTGCCGGGTTGGGCCCCAGACTGATGAGGTTTTGAAACATAATGCTTGTCATTTCATTGTTGCTTTTGGATTAGTTTTTTAAGCCAGAATGATGTGGCCTGTCCCACAGATCCCTTGCGGTCATTCTGTAAGCATCATTATCCTAGTCCGAGTGAAAACATTTGTTCCTTCCATTAAGTAACTGATGGACAGTGTCAGATTGACCTGGTAATTGCAGGCTCCTACCTAGCTAGATTGCTGCAGAGGTCTATCAGGTTTTTTAATGCACAGAAACCAATGAAGCGGTTTGTTTTTGTGCATGGTTTTTAATGTTTGTTTTTTTCTTTGCATTTAGGGTTCCCCAATGGGCTGGAGGAACATTAGCCAGACATCTGAACATTACAGGTAAGGTATCTCCTCCATCTCTCTCCATGTAATCATGTCTCTGCATCTGTTAGTAAGTGTAAATAATTGAAAATGGTTTGTTAAAGGAGAACTATGGGGTTAAGTCTTTTCCCCATAGTTCTCCTTAGGGTAACGGGAGGACACAAACTAGCATCCTCCAGTCACCCTAGGCTCAGGAGCTGTAGCTCGCGGTATACTGAGACGCCGCAGTATACAAGCACTCACCTCATAGTGCTCCTTTTTTAAAGCAATGTTTTGGGCTATCGCAGCATTATAGGAAGATCACCTTGAATATTGATCTCCTTTCCATTGGTTGTTTGCATTTATGTGGAGGGTGGTCAGCAATCAACAGATTGGCTCAGTATTGATTTGATGTAAATGAAGCGTATGATATTTGACTTGGCTTGGTAAACCTGTGATAAAAATGTAACATTGTTTATTCCAGTTACAATAGTGTGGTTCTTGTGCAAGTATATCTACAGTAGACATAGTAAGCGGACCATATACTATGGTTAAATGCCAGGCATGAATTATTTTGCACACTTCTGCCATACCTGGTGGCTCAGGGGGATCCTGTAAATCGGTGTAGTAGCTGCAGCTACTACAGTACTGGCTGCGATCTTCTAGGTCCTGTATGGAACTGAGAGGCTTCCCCTCTGCTCCAAAAACACAGGGGGTACCTTGCACTGCACTGCACAGCTGACATTCAGGAAACATCTAGTAGTATAAGTGAATCCAAGGCATTTTCTGTTTTGGATGAGAGGTGGTGACATAATGAGCTGCCCCTCATCCAATTGGAGAATATCTAGTATCTTTATCAATGAATACAAGGCGTTCTTTAATTGGACGATCAGAGAACATTCTTGGCAGAGGAGTCGCAGGTCTTGAGATATTGCTTTGTACCTGGACATTCAGATCATTCTGCAGTCCAAATGACAATTGTGTATATTGTGAATTGCTGAATGTACTTTTTCTTTTTAATTTGCATTACATTTTCTAACCTAATATTATGCATCTTAACATATCTAAGTAGACCATGTTAGTGGTAAGGTACCTGCAGTTCACTTATCTATGTTGGTCTTATTTTTTTCTTTGGTGTCTTCCTAGTGTTGCATTGTAATGACACACATGGTAAAGACGGAATCATTAATGATGGCATCTAATTGGCAACATATGTGCAAAACTGGACTTTAAGAGCCACAAAATAAAGGCCTATTGAGGCACAGTGGGTGTTTTGGCTTTGTAAACGAGAGGCCTGAAGCCTTGTTATAGAGAACAATGGCCCGCATTATACAATTCACAGTCCATATGCTTTGTCTTGTCTACTGGTAAACTGCTGTGAAGATGTAGGGGGTGGGGGGACAAATACTATACAGAAAGGAACAATAAGGTTTTTGTTTTTCTTCTTTTTGCAGAAAAATAGTTCCTTTGGAGAAGGAAGATTCTGAAACTTTTGGGTTTGAAATTCAGGTGAGCCCACTTCCCTGTTCTTGCAGATTTTGTCTTACTTTGGATAGTAGTGTGACTTTGTGTTGTGTCTTGTGTATATGGTATGGTTGATGGTGAATGAGTTACTTCATGACTTGGCTGCTACATAATTCTCCATAATGCACTACCACCTAAAGGCAAATGCTTCTCCTATTGATATTTCATCCAATCTAACACTTGATCTAATAATCAATTGACTTTTAAACTGATGTTCAATATAACACCAAAGGCAATGTACCCAGCATCAATCTTTTGACTTTGAATGACCCATTGATTTGGGTGCTGAAAATGTCACTGGGAAAACATGTTTTGAGCATTGATTGTTTGGGTTATTCAAATGAATCGATCATTGGCTTGAGCAATTGGAATTTTTCAACCCATCCAATCTTTTCTCTGTTCTCTTCTGTTCTCTTCTGTTCTCTTCTGTTCTCTTCTGTTCTCTTCTGTTCTCTTCTGTTCTCTTCTGTTCTCTTCTGTTCTCTTCTGTTCTCTTCTGTTCTCTTCTGTTCTCTTCTGTTCTCTTCTGTTCTCTTCTGTTCTCTTCTGTTCTCTTCTGTTCTCTTCTGTTCTCTTCTGTTCTCTTCTGTTCTCTTCTGTTCTCTTCTGTTCTCTTCTGTTCTCTTCTGTTCTCTTCTGTTCTCTTCTGTTCAAGCTGTTGCAAAATGTCAATTGGTGAAGACACCCAATATATACTGGATCTGTCACAATATTTAAGATCGGATCTGTACATGTATCCTCAGCTTTGTATAAGTGCAATGCGAACAGCAAGTTTTTTTTTTCTCTAAAGAATTTGCAAAGATTTTATGACAGTTTAAGCAGCTTTGCTGAAGCCTTTATAGCATCATTCAGCTCTAGTGTGGGATGTAAAACACAGACCATGTTTGTAGTGCTGACTAATTTTAAATAGGCAGTTAGCAGGCTTTAGCATTGATTGTCATTTTTGTCACTGCTCCTCACAGGGATTTCCCCCTCCTCTCTGTTCCTTTAGCACTGACTGCAGGGACAAATGGGGGAGGGCAGCTGTCAATCAGTTAGCGGGGTGGATCCTGACAGTTAGGATCTGTCCTGGCTGCAGCGTGGCTCTGCGCTGTCGGCATATAGCGGGCAATAGCCTGCTAAATGCTCAGTTTTGGGTCACATTAGTTTATGGGCCATAGTTCTCTTTTTAAAGGCTTCAAGAAAGCCTTGCAATGCTGACCTGAAAACTATGAAAATGCTTAGTAAAAGCTTGCTGTTCACACTGCTTTTACACAAGCTGACACTTGGTGTGTTCAGGACCCTAAAGGGGACCTGAACCTATGTTGGCTGTTCCGAAAAAAGCCAAGTATAGGGTGAAGACATGTCATCAGTATTGCCTATAGACTCCCTGCAGCTGACCTTTTTCCCCATCAATGACTTGCATACAGTGGGTTTTCTCTGTGGGGATGGCTTTCTTGATAGTCGAGGCTTTTCTTCCTCACGTCAGAACTGTCCCCTAATGACTGGTCTGATGACGGGTGGAGGCATATTTAAGAAGCAACTTGAGACATTCACAAAGCACAGATCTACAGAATAATGGAAGCAAAAGGGATATGCAAGCAGTACAGTAGTGTCATCACCCAATCTGATTTCAAATCTTTGGAAACTAGCATTCAGAGGCAGAAGTGCCTTAGATCTCGCACAGATGCAGATTCAGGGTTTTGCTTGTGTACAATAACATTTTGTAGATTCCTTTTTAACAGCAGATCTTCACTTTGGGTTCAGGTTCACTTTAATGAGATTTCATGTGCTGAATAATTAAGTCTTTAATTAGCAATTCCTTGTTGATCACCTGTCCAGTGCATAAACTCACTTTTTTTGCCTTTATCGGACTTTAACACATATCCATTGCTTAAGTTAAGGTCTATGAGCAAGAGAAACCTGGCCAGATCTTGTATATTGTAACCATACAAAATGATCACCTTGGTCAGCCTGGGGAATATTGCCCCCATCTTTCAGAGTTTGCAGGGAAGTTGTCTAGACATTGGGGGGGGGGGGGGGGGGGGTGTTTGGTAGGGAGGGGGCACATTGAGGAACATGGCCTTGGGGCAGCAGAATCCACAGAGTTTCCACAGTATAGATGCAGCCTTGCAATCACCAAGACTCACAAATACATGAAACATACCCATTCACCATAACCTAAACAGTCACCCTTCAAGTAAACCTGTTTGTAGGAAAACATGGAAGCTTCCATTTGGGGCTTCCTTCTCAAAATGATGGCTACCAGTTTGTCGTGCTGAACTATATACACTCCATTATTGAGTCACTGACTTGGAACAAGTATGCAGATAAGGAAAAGTTAGCAAAAACTAGAAATGGTTATCTGCCTACATGACAGTCGGGTATGTAGGCAGATAACCATTAGTTATCCATTAGTATTTTTAGAAATCGATAAGCAATTGGTTTTAGTCTGGCTCTGGGAAAGCTTTTGTTCTCTGCTCTTCACTGTATCCAAACCATGACTGGCCAGACAAATCTGCCATTTGACAGAAAGGCTGGTGTGTACGAGAGTAGTTTTTTGTTTAAGTGGAACATTCACCGGAGTGTTCTGTGCTGTAGAGCAACATCAGAATGATGAGAGGATGTGAACAGTGACTACATATAATCTGTATGAATAGTTTTTAGTGTGCTTTGTAAATATGGATGGTACGGCTGGTTAATAAATAACCACCATTTTCCATTCAACTACACAGGGCTCCGGATTATCACCTGCTAAGCAAATAGAAGCAGCTGGGCAAGGTGTTCAACCAGGGCAGCCATTGTCACCGTTGCTAGGAAGTGGCCAGGCTTAAATGTTTGCATATTGTCATCGTTTTCCTATATTTGTCTGAGTGGCCGACTCCGTGTTTTATCTTTCTTAGGCCTCTCAAATTAAATTATCCGGTGCTATATACAAAGGTTATCTGCAATTCTTTATAGCCCCATAACTAAAGTGACACTAATGTACTTGTATGAAAAGGCCACAGCTTTACATTGACCGGCTGACAGATGTCATCGAAGTACAGTTCTACCGCAGGAGTTCTGCACAGCATTGGCTATAGACATGCCACGCAAACTGTCTAATCCAGCTGTTTTTATCCGGACTGGGCCATGATCTGTCTGTAGGTCCTGGAGACGCCTGCCGGCAAACTGCTCTCTGGGGTATGATTAATGGATCTAGTAGTGTATGTATCCTTAAGGGCCCATTCACACCAGATCTGTTGTGATCGTTTTTTAACGGGTGCTAACGGAAGGGCACCGAAAAATGAATGGGGCTAGTTCACACCGCTCTGTTGTATTGCACAACGTTGCGTTGCACTGGGAAAAAAAGAACATGCACAGTAATGCAATAGATTCGGTGTGAACTAGCCCCATTCATTTTTCGGTGCCCTTCCGTTAGCATCTTTTGAAAAACGGATCGGAAGGAAGTCGTAAGATACCATTGTAAGTCAACAGACCCTCCGTTCACTTTCAATTTCCTTCCGATTTTGGTGTGAATGCACCCTTACACTTCCTTTGCTGTATCCCAAAAGCAAACTAATACAACTACTAAAATTATAAAAATGCAGTAAAGCAAAACCATGCACAGAAGCCTGTCAGTTTAATAAAAAATGACAAACCAAGTGTATAACCGGATATTTAATCACATGTGACCCTGTGCTCATGATTGTGTTTGAATGCTATTGTTGTTGGAAGTACTTTGTGCTTTATTTGCAACAGGAACAGTGAGCGGTTTCTTTTTGTTTTTATGTAATTGTATTATGCTGCTAGTTTTCAGGCTGTAAACTGCACACAATCATTAGCCTTGATTTGTCACATGTTGAAGATCATTAGAATAATGTGGTTGGCTATAAACCTGATGTAAGTTCTTAAATTTTATTTTATTTTTTTTCCCCTGCAGACCTATGGATTGCACCATAAGGACAAGAATACAGTGGAAATGTTTACATTTGTCTGCCGGGTACATGAAGGAAGCCCCGCTATGTTGTGTGGCCTGAAAGTTGGTAAGTCAATGTGGGGCGCATTGGGGGGGGGGGGGGGGGGGGTTTTGTGTAATGCTTCCTCTTTTTGCGTGGTTGTCTTTCCACAGAGTTTCCACAGTATAGATGCAGCCTTGCAATCACCAAGACTCACAAATACATGAAACATACCCATTCACCATAACCTAAACAGTCACCCTTCAAGTAAACCTGTTTGTAGGAAAACATGGAAGCTTCCATTTGGGGCTTCCTTCTCAAAATGATGGCTACCAGTTTGTCGTGCTGAACTATATACACTCCATTATTGAGTCACTGACTTGGAACAAGTATGCAGATAAGGAAAAGTTAGCAAAAACTAGAAATGGTTATCTGCCTACATGACAGTCGGGTATGTAGGCAGATAACCATTAGTTATCCATTAGTATTTTTAGAAATCGATAAGCAATTGGTTTTAGTCTGGCTCTGGGAAAGCTTTTGTTCTCTGCTCTTCACTGTATCCAAACCATGACTGGCCAGACAAATCTGCCATTTGACAGAAAGGCTGGTGTGTACGAGAGTAGTTTTTTGTTTAAGTGGAACATTCACCGGAGTGTTCTGTGCTGTAGAGCAACATCAGAATGATGAGAGGATGTGAACAGTGACTACATATAATCTGTATGAATAGTTTTTAGTGTGCTTTGTAAATATGGATGGTACGGCTGGTTAATAAATAACCACCATTTTCCATTCAACTACACAGGGCTCCGGATTATCACCTGCTAAGCAAATAGAAGCAGCTGGGCAAGGTGTTCAACCAGGGCAGCCATTGTCACCGTTGCTAGGAAGTGGCCAGGCTTAAATGTTTGCATATTGTCATCGTTTTCCTATATTTGTCTGAGTGGCCGACTCCGTGTTTTATCTTTCTTAGGCCTCTCAAATTAAATTATCCGGTGCTATATACAAAGGTTATCTGCAATTCTTTATAGCCCCATAACTAAAGTGACACTAATGTACTTGTATGAAAAGGCCACAGCTTTACATTGACCGGCTGACAGATGTCATCGAAGTACAGTTCTACCGCAGGAGTTCTGCACAGCATTGGCTATAGACATGCCACGCAAACTGTCTAATCCAGCTGTTTTTATCCGGACTGGGCCATGATCTGTCTGTAGGTCCTGGAGACGCCTGCCGGCAAACTGCTCTCTGGGGTATGATTAATGGATCTAGTAGTGTATGTATCCTTAAGGGCCCATTCACACCAGATCTGTTGTGATCGTTTTTTAACGGGTGCTAACGGAAGGGCACCGAAAAATGAATGGGGCTAGTTCACACCGCTCTGTTGTATTGCACAACGTTGCGTTGCACTGGGAAAAAAAGAACATGCACAGTAATGCAATAGATTCGGTGTGAACTAGCCCCATTCATTTTTCGGTGCCCTTCCGTTAGCATCTTTTGAAAAACGGATCGGAAGGAAGTCGTAAGATACCATTGTAAGTCAACAGACCCTCCGTTCACTTTCAATTTCCTTCCGATTTTGGTGTGAATGCACCCTTACACTTCCTTTGCTGTATCCCAAAAGCAAACTAATACAACTACTAAAATTATAAAAATGCAGTAAAGCAAAACCATGCACAGAAGCCTGTCAGTTTAATAAAAAATGACAAACCAAGTGTATAACCGGATATTTAATCACATGTGACCCTGTGCTCATGATTGTGTTTGAATGCTATTGTTGTTGGAAGTACTTTGTGCTTTATTTGCAACAGGAACAGTGAGCGGTTTCTTTTTGTTTTTATGTAATTGTATTATGCTGCTAGTTTTCAGGCTGTAAACTGCACACAATCATTAGCCTTGATTTGTCACATGTTGAAGATCATTAGAATAATGTGGTTGGCTATAAACCTGATGTAAGTTCTTAAATTTTATTTTATTTTTTTTCCCCTGCAGACCTATGGATTGCACCATAAGGACAAGAATACAGTGGAAATGTTTACATTTGTCTGCCGGGTACATGAAGGAAGCCCCGCTATGTTGTGTGGCCTGAAAGTTGGTAAGTCAGCTCTTATATACCTCAGGATAAGTGTTAACACTTTAGCCAGGAGATGAGATGCGTGTAAACTGCTGCGTATGCTTGCTTTATTATCTGGAATTTCCTCACAATATCATGCTGCTGTCATTGGTAAGAAATGCAAGTAGATTACTGGTGACTTCCTGTGTAATCTAACACCTTCCTGACAGTAATTCTTAGATAAAAACTCAAATATGCCATTTTTTCTTTTGCTGTCATTTCCTCCATCAGTAATATGAAAATTTGAGGTGGTTAGGGGGCTCAGGTTTTCCCTGTCGCCGTAGTTCACCATTGGTCATGTACATAAGCAGACTTGTGGTGTGACATTATTAGACTTCTATTCTTGGTTGTGTTTTTGGGGTTTTTTGTTATGTTCCTGGGAGGCAGGTAGAGTGAATTTTAGAACTTTTGCCTTTTCAAAATGTTTTTTTTTTTTTTTTCCAGTATATGTATAAATGTCAGTCAACTATAGTCAGCACAAGGGAAATGTAAAGAGATACCCAAACCCTCTTCTCTGCTTTAATGCAACTTAAAGAGAACTATGGTCAAACCTTTTGGCATTTGTTCTCTTTTTGGGTCACAGGAGGACATCAATGTTCTCCAGTGACCCAAAGCTCAGCAAATAGCGGGCAATTGCCTGATGTATGCTGATGGCACAGAGCTGCACTGCAGCTGGGGAGGAGCCAGACAATATTGACATCTGGCTCTGCTTGCAGAGCCAGCTGTGCCCGCCCCCTCCTGTCTATCCCCTCAATGAGTGCTGGAGGAACAGAGAATTAAATCCCTGCAGGGAGCAGTGAGGGACAGTTGCTGCTCTCTGCAGGGAGAAGATGGTCAACTGAGCGATCAGCAGTTTTTGAACGCTCAGTTCTCGCTCTATAGAGTTGAAGTGTGATGGGTGCAGTGTCACACGTAGTCTCAACTATGGGAATGAGTACATTTCACTGCTGAAATAATTCTCCTTTTTAGCTAAAACATTAAAGACAAATCCCTTATGCAGTTATTGGGTATTAAAATCTAAAGAGGTTTCTGAAATGGTTTTAATTTTTTTGTATTAAATCTGCCATCCATTACAGTGGTCTGTATGGTCATCACTTTGAACAACAGTGTGTTTTTAATATGAAGCTTATGTCAGTGGGGATGTTTTTGTTTGAGTGCCTCTTGCTTTTCTATGTACTCCAACATGTTCTCTGCAGGAAATGACTCAGGCAAGCTAGGGCTTGGAATGGAGCCTCCAATTGTGTCCATGCAGTAATGGACGGAGCACGAACTTCTGTTCCTGCTCTAATCAAAGTTGCCAGATTTCATGGAGATTTCAGGGAAATCCATGAAGCTGCAGTCCCCTGCCTAGCATCCTCCTTTATCTGTGAGGAAGTGCAGAAGACATACAGGGACAGCAGCCAGGAGGAGCAGAGGCCAACAATGAGTTATAGATAGCTGTGCAGATTTGTGTTTAATGTTAGGTAATCGCAGCATAGTCTCACAATGTGTTTTTTTTTTATTACACAACTCGTGCAGATTGCAAAATAAATTGAAGGAATGGAAATCCTTCATAAAAGCAATCTTGGTAACCACAGCTCTAATAGATGAGATGCAATATAACATGTCATGGGTGTCCAGATAGAAAACCCACTCTGAGTTATTAATGATTGAGGGCTTGTTCACACCATATCAGGACCGGATCTGGTGCATATCTGCAAACTCGATGCAGTGCGTTTTTGATGCATTTGCCCAGCGACTAGCTGAGCGAGTGATGTTGACAGCACAGTAGTGCCATTAGATGGGGCTGAGGAGCATAAGCATTTCCAATGCTCCTTAGCTCCATCTAGTGGCAGTAATCGCTGTGTCGCTCATTCACCCATTATATAGCTGTAAAAAAAAGTCAAGGCAACTGGACTTGCTGTATTTTTCTTGATGTTTCACTGGTCATCCAAACAGCTTTCTTAATTCAGAATGACTTGTGCAAAAAAATTCTCTGGTAAGAATTGAAAGAAATGACTTGTACAAAAAATGGTTGGATGACCAGTGAAATGTTTTAGAAAAATAAAAAAATAAAATAAATAGCAAGTCCAGTTTCCTTGACTTATTTTTTTACAGATATACCATGACCTGGATGAATGAGAACCACCACAGACTATTCCCATTATAGATCAGCCCCTATGTAACTTGGAGGAAAAGCAGTTTGTATTACCCCGAGCAGCTAGATGTATACATTTTTATCCCTTGCTACCGAATGTCACCCTAGCATGCACGTTTTTATAATGAACATTACGAACTTGAATGTCCACTTCATAAAGGGGGCACTTGAAATGAATGTTGGATTTGATCAGGTTGTGACAGTGGTGTGAAGGTACAGGATTAGTGAAGGCTGGAAAGACAGGATATTGGCACGATGGTTTATGGCTCTATTAAATGCTTCTTTACCATTTTAATTATACATAAGCTGCCGCTTTATGGTTTCATGTTTCTCATTCCACACCTTTTCATCCTTCCTAATTCTTAAAAAAAAAAAAAAGTTTCCTATAGCTATTGCAGTATATATGTAGCAGATCATTAAACAACTTTGATCCTTGGGTAAATTGTATGATGATATGATGCCCTCCTTACACATGTCTCTTATTTTTTAGGTGATATAATTGCTGGAGTTAATGGCCTCAATGTGGAAGGAATCAGGCACAAGGAAATTGTAGAGCTGATAAAGGTTTCTGGGAATAAAATAAGGTAACATTTGAATAAACACTTGCAGAAATGGTTTGGTTGTGCTTTTGCTAGCTCTACAGATCTGAATCAAAAAAAGTGTGTGTGTGATTGATTGATTGAGAGATGGATAGATGGATGAATTTTTTTTAATGTACGTACACATTTATTACTTTTAGTCTGCATAAAAACACCCAAAAATATATTTTTACCACTATATTCTGCACCTCACAAGGCTCCTGCGTGCGTTTGTTTTTGTTTGGGGGTGGGGGGGCTTCTAAACCCATGTATGTATATCATCGAAAATATTATTTGGGTGTACAGTTTTCTGATCTGTATTCAATGTGTGTTTCTGTATTGACAGGCTGGAGACTGTTTATGGATCTTCCATCAGAAGAGCGGAATTGGAGGCCAGACTCCAGTATCTAAAGGTAAATAGCAGTTAAAGAGATGTGCATGACCACATTAACTTGAATATGAATATTTTCAGTCTTGAACAAAAATTCTGGCCATCCCAGAAGGTTTCCACTGCTGATGCTGCACATTAATCATCTGTTGATGTTCATCTGTTACTCATATGCTACCAGCCGGAGGTTAACTAACTCCATGGAGTATAATTCTAAACTGGCGTGGGAGATGAGGTATAATGTGTGGTATACACTTACTTCTCTGGATATCCTGCTGTTATAACTTGGTCAGTGGCAGTGTTCTACCTGCGGGTTCTGAGATCTGTATTGTTGAAGTAGTGGGCCACACAGAGGCCGATGTGGCTGACTGCAGCAATTTGGTCAGTGCAGTCTGTGGGTCCTATAGAGCTGTGGGTAACTGTTAAATGGCAGGATATCCAGCAAAACTGTCACAGACGCATGTATAAATTGCGTAATGAACCTTGCCACCCAAAGCATGAAATGTATTTATTTATTTTTTGCAGAATTTAGTGATCTGTTGGTCCATATACTTTTGGTAGACACCAGAGCAGACCGTTCTTCTGTTTCTGTGATACAAAGTCAAGTTTGGGAACTTGCAATAGTTGCTTTTTAAATGATCTATTTTTTTAAATGGATACATAGCTTAATTTTGTGTTGGCTTAATGTAAGGCAGATAATCTGTTTAGAGATGTAATGGCAGTATAACATGCGAAGCCCAAAGTTGTATGCCCAATTATTTGGTAAGGCAATGTATTGCAGATGTGCGACACAAAGATGTTTGGATGAGTTAAATCATTTTGCACATTGTGCTTTACCTGTCTCAATATATTTTTCTGGTGTATTTTGTTTCTGGGAAGATCTTCAGCCCGTGACATAGAAAGATGTTTACTGACTAACATAAAGACATAAACATAAAACAGTCTCTGAAAAGATCTTTGGTTTTTTTGGTCCTTACAGCAAACTTTGTATGAGAAATGGGAGGAATACCGCTCACTTATGGTGCAAGAGCAGAGACTGCTACATGGTAAGTGTTTGTCCTGTAAGTAATTCCTAGCTGCTTACCCAACATATGGCTATTTCATGGAGGGAACAAACCACTTTAGAGCTAGTAACTCTGCAGGAGAGAGGTCATAATAACTAGTTACAATGTGTTACCAATTAATCCTTCAGCTTGTGGTATTTTGTTTAACAAGTATTTTCTTCCCCTAAAATGTTTGTGTTTTAGTGAGTCATGTTCTCCTTTTTCTCACCGGTCTGTGCTGTAAGTTAGGCTTCCCAGAATTTAGTGTAACTTCTCCTTTTTATTTGAATTATATCTACTTTCCACAGATAATCTTGCTGCTACCGTTGAGTTCTTTAGATAGCATTCAAGAGTGGTTAGGGCTGCTATCTTTGAGAGAAGTGAACTCTGCATCATTGAAATACCACTTCCTGTGTGACCCGAATGCCAACAATGCCTGGTCTAAATGTTGGTTCAGGACCTTTATATCACCCTGCTCTTTTTGGCTGTGCTTAGCACTTGGGCAATAGAAGTCTCAAGTGGTCTGGTACAGTGCAATCACTTCATTCCTCAACTTGACAGTGTTTTACTTGTCCCTAATTTATCCCTGTAATGACTGGATAGTATAAACTCTCTAACAGCATTGATCAGGTGGAACCCAGACATTTATTAGCACAGTGGCTTTAATAGTCTGACTTGAAGTATTAAGCAATACTTTAGATCTGTGCTTCACTATTGTAAAGGTTGATGTTTTCTGCAATGATCCAGGCAGGCTTTAGACAGTCTTGTCCCTTTCAGTGCAATGTTGGGGTCAGAAAGGTATCCATTACAATATACACTGAGGATGGATGACAGGCCTGGGGTTGCCTCCTTACCAGGAGTTGGTATGAGTGTGGCCACTTGTGTTCTTTTTGACTCGGAACATGGTTTGGAAAAAACGTAGCCGTTAACAATTCAGCTTTTATGGCCTTTCAAACACTTAGGTTGCCCTTAGGGGGACGTTCAATATAATGGCCTGACTGGGAGTGCTGAACTGGGCAGACCAATATATACAGTGCCAGAGGTTACATATTGGAGAAATTAAAGTTCTTTAGTGTTTTGTGGGGCTGTGATTTAACACTTGTAAAACTCGTACTTAATACTACAAATTTGGAATATTTATGGATTGAAAACACAAGTTTCTGTCATTGCTGTCTGGGGATTATTTTTTTGTCTATGGCTGAAACAGAAACTGCTGGCTATAAATATGTTTTATGATGCCGTGTGTTATTTGTACGATTTGGCTACCTCCTCCCCGTCTACAGTTTAGGATCTCTATTAGTGATGTTTTTATAATATGAATTCCAGAAATGCACAATTTTTCTAAAATTATACCTTACTTGGTTCAAAAATTGGGTTACCTGATTTCTGAATGGTATGGTCTTTATTATACAAGCCTGAGCATCATCAGTCTGTATTTGTACACACAAACTACAGAATGCACCAAGCTGTGACCTTGCAAGAAAGCGTTCTCAAATTGAAGCAAATCACAATGAATGCACATTGAATTTGAAAGGTGTTCTGGATTACATTAACTTTCAAAACCTAAGAAACAAGGAACAAAAGAAAGCGCCTCCATAGTGTAAAAGTGATTTAATATTAAAAACACGCAGCACTAAGGCTGTACTTACAACAATTCAGTTGAATAAAAACCAGTAGAGTAGGATGAGAAGTGGGAACTTCTGGCAGGGAGGGTCTGGAGTGATGAAATTCACCAGCGTCCTCTATCCCTGTGTTAGCAAAAGGTTTAAGTGTTTCTGGGGCACGCCCCCTTCATCAGAACCTATGAACGAAACTGCCCTGTGTCCGGTCTTAAATCATTAACACATGGGATTTTTAACCCAATCGTCAGGTCAATGTTGGAGGCTCATCCAGAGCTGCGGGTGATTTTTTAATTGTCGGCTCAGTCTAATTCCCGATATGGTGTCTTACATGGCATTAACCTAATGTAGGTGCGATATCCCACCTTATTGACAGGAATCTGCTCAGAAGAAAGTGTTTTTTTTATTAGAAAATGACATGAACAGTTACTCTTGAATGTTAGTCACAGTGCAGATAGCTCAATAATTAACGGACTGGCATGATAAACATGCAGTCGCACGGTAAATTCAAAACTGGGGTTATATAAATAAATATTTATCATTCTAATATATCCATATAAGCCCAGCTTTGAATTTACCGTGCGCCTGCATGTTTATCATGCCAGCCCGTTAATTATTGAGCTATCTGCACTGTGACTAACATTCAAGAGTAACTGTTCATGTCATTTTCTAATTAAAAAAACACTTCTGAGCCGATTCCTGTCAATAAGGTGGGATATCGCACCTACATTAGGTTAATGCCATATCGGGAATTAGACTGAGCCGACTATTAATTAAAAATCACCCGCAGCTCTGGATGAGCCTCCAACATTGACCGGACGATTGGGTTAAAAATCCCATGTGTTAATGAATTTAAGACCGGACACAGGGCAGTTTCGTTCATAGGTTCTGATGAAGGGGGCGTGCCCCAGAAACTCGTAAACCTTTTGCTAACACAGGGATAGATGATGCTGGTGAATTTCATCACTCCAGACTCTCCCTGCCAGAGGTTTCCGACTTCTCATCCTACTCTACTGGTTTTTATTCAACTGAATTGTTGTAAGTACAGCCTTAGAGCTGCGTGTTTTTAATATTAAATCACTCTTTTACACTATGGAGGCGCTTTCTTTTGTTTCTTAGACTGGTGGTCAATCTGACCTATGGGAGCTGCCTCTTTCGTGTTTGCTGCATCAAATTGCTGGGCACCCTGTAATTGAAGGCGCCGGTATTTTTTCATCAACTTTCAAAACCCCTCAAATCTTCACAATTTGATGTATGTCTATGTATTTGGAACATTGCTGGGTATAATCACCAGTAATATTCTATACTCTATTCATCTACATACTAGGTGATTTTGTCTGATTAGTGTGAAAGTAGCTGCTGGAATGGGAGGTGGTGGAGAACAGGAGAGAGTAGTTAAAACTCCTTTCCGCAACCTCTGATTTCTTCACACCAAATGTTATGTTATCGTTCGAGCACTGTAAGGAGATGCTTGGGCATGAAAATCTTTAAGTGCGGTTTACATAGACAAAATTTAAAGCTTTTTCTTGGTATATGGTGTTCCTATTATAGCTTTCCAGGGGACTTTTGCTTTTGGGATGGAGTTGTGAGTCTCTTATACCGAATTGCTTCAAATAATTATTTCTTGCTCTTTCTAGGCATTGTCGTGAAGGACCCCAGTGTATACGACACATTGGAATCAGTCAGGTCATACATCTATGGGACAGTGCCTCAATGCACCAAAGAAGTTCTGCCAAGCTCCTTGCCAACTGGAAGTATATGCAGCAGTGCAAGTTGTTTGAGTACTGCTGAGGACAATGAGGACGCTGTGTATCAGACATGCTACTTCAGCTCGGACTCTATAGATGAAATTAACATTCCCAACAAAAACGCACTCAAGCCTTACAAGTCACCACTAACTCGGAGCTCAAGTGTAAAGTGTGCAAGCCCTGCAACGAACTGGGATAAATTGTTGTAAGTACAGCCTTAGAGCTGCGTGTTTTTAATATTAAATCACTCTTTTACACTATGGAGGCGCTTTCTTTTGTTTCTTAGACTGGTGGTCAATCTGACCTATGGGAGCTGCCTCTTTCGTGTTTGCTGCATCAAATTGCTGGGCACCCTGTAATTGAAGGCGCCGGTATTTTTTCATCAACTTTCAAAACCCCTCAAATCTTCACAATTTGATGTATGTCTATGTATTTGGAACATTGCTGGGTATAATCACCAGTAATATTCTATACTCTATTCATCTACATACTAGGTGATTTTGTCTGATTAGTGTGAAAGTAGCTGCTGGAATGGGAGGTGGTGGAGAACAGGAGAGAGTAGTTAAAACTCCTTTCCGCAACCTCTGATTTCTTCACACCAAATGTTATGTTATCGTTCGAGCACTGTAAGGAGATGCTTGGGCATGAAAATCTTTAAGTGCGGTTTACATAGACAAAATTTAAAGCTTTTTCTTGGTATATGGTGTTCCTATTATAGCTTTCCAGGGGACTTTTGCTTTTGGGATGGAGTTGTGAGTCTCTTATACCGAATTGCTTCAAATAATTATTTCTTGCTCTTTCTAGGCATTGTCGTGAAGGACCCCAGTGTATACGACACATTGGAATCAGTCAGGTCATACATCTATGGGACAGTGCCTCAATGCACCAAAGAAGTTCTGCCAAGCTCCTTGCCAACTGGAAGTATATGCAGCAGTGCAAGTTGTTTGAGTACTGCTGAGGACAATGAGGACGCTGTGTATCAGACATGCTACTTCAGCTCGGACTCTATAGATGAAATTAACATTCCCAACAAAAACGCACTCAAGCCTTACAAGTCACCACTAACTCGGAGCTCAAGTGTAAAGTGTGCAAGCCCTGCAACGAACTGGGATAAGCCAAAAGAGCACAATAACTTTGTGTCATTACCCAGGAAAAAACACAAAAGCTTTCGCAAAAGACTCCTAAAGTTTATTCCTGGACTAAACAGATCATTGGAAGAGGAGGCCAGTCCTCTTTAGCACCTCTTTATATGAACAGTTAAGTTATTTATTTATTGTTTTGCAGAAAAAAAGTGTGAATTTGTATTTACTTTGTTAAACTTTATTGTAAAAACTTTATTACGTTTGTTTTTCATTAAAATGGTTTGGCGAATCTAAGGGTGCCAAACTCCAGGATTTTCTATAAAAATGCATGTGTTCTTCCAATAGCTCAAGTGGTTCAAAGGCTTCTCAAGATACCGGAGCCAGCAGGAAGCTGCCACACAGTGAAGCGTTTTGTTCTAGTTCCCGTTCTGCTTTGTGCCATAACTGAGGCTCTCCTGATGCTGCAAGGGGAACATGCAGTAAATAGAATATTACAGATCACACCCTTAGTGTTCCCTGATTTTTTAACACCCTCTCAGTTGTTTACAAGACAGGCCAATGCTTACTTAGAGATTGTCTAATGGTTAATTTCCTGCACATACAGTGACCATTCAACATACAAGGCTCTCATTGAAATTTGGGTGGGGAATTTATATGAGAAGCTGTCGTCAGTCACTCATCATGAATATAAAGTTCTTTTAAAACTAATGTTCATTCACACCAGAAGGCATGTCTTCAGGGATCATATATTTGGGCATTAGACCTGAGTTGGGTACAATGAAGGGAATTGATCAAAACTGGAGCAGGTGTGCATTGAAACCAATCTGCATCTCATGTTCAAATCTTAACTGAACAAACTGTAGAGAAGCTGATTGGTTGCCATGCACAGCTGCTCCAGATTTTGTCTGCTCCAGTTTTGATGAATTCCCCCAATATGCTTTGAGGTGTTTCATTCATATCAGGACATAGGTTTTAAGGAATCATGTACTTTGGGATTCAATCTGGAAACAAGTCAGATACAGTCCTACTTTTAAGGTGCTTCAAAGTTGATTTTAATTTGTCTGTTACTTTAGCATTCTTCACTTGTATGCTGAGGAAGAGCGGCACAGATGCAATCAAATGCCCTTATACACATGAGCTGCATTAATGTGCATTGCCATCCGTTTTCAGATGTGTTCTGTTTTTAAAGATCAGTATTCATTCAACTGGGTAAAGTGCAGGCCAGTCCATCCAAAATGCAGCATGGGGGATTTTATTGCCAATTTGTAATGTAACCCATTGGTGTAAATGGGCTTTTCTGAAAACAATGGATTTTTTTACATTTAAGGTATATTGCCTGCACTGGAATGAGTAAACACTGTAAATTAAACTTTAAAGTGGAAAAAGAGGGGGAAGGGTTAAAATAGTTCAAGTAGAATGTTTTAGGACTGTTCTCTGTGCATGTGCCCTGAGGAGGTTACAGAGAATCAAACTCTTTCCCTCCATTGGTTCAGCTTCCTTATATGAACACCAGTGCTATCCAGTACTGGGTGTCAGCTGTAGTTTCACATGTTCACAATTCTTTGGGATGCCCAGCCCTACAAATTGTCAGCTGCCAATTTTTTTCTCTCGTGGGCTTGGCATAGCTTAAAATACAGTATGTTGCAGACCCTGGTATTCAGGATTTTAGGTAATACCAAGCAAGATTCACACTTTCCCTTTTTTAGAAGGCCCATTAAAACTAAAATTAAATAAAAAAAGACTTTTACACCATGATGAACAGTAGTCGCATAGCTGGATAGGTTTATAATCTTATTTAAAGACACCGAACATACAGCCAAAGTTACCCTTCATAAGTATATGATTAGTCCATACAGTTCATTTGGTTTAACAAAGCCGCTATTTCCCTTTCAGTGGGGATGCCCCCTCATTGCAACAAGTAACTGCTCCATTTATGCCTAGGGGAACAGGAAAAATCTATATTGTCCGACTCTACCCCCCCC